ATCTATCTATCTATCTATCTATCTATCTATCTATCTATCTATCTATCTATCTATCTATCTATCTATAACAAGATACAAACAATTTAAATAGAAGGTAATCCTAGAGGAGAGAGGATGAAAAAGGAGAACTGGGAAAGGCCTCCTGTAGAAAATGGTATTTGAACTGAATCATGGAGAAAGCCAGGAAAGAAGTTAAGATGAGGAGATGAGATGAAGAGAAAGAACATTCCAGGCACAGGGAACAGCCAGTACAAATGGGGTTTAGTGAGCCCTCAGGTCTCTTTCTGGCCATGTGTGGTCCCAATGAATGCCTCCCATGTTTATGTTCTACACTTATTCTGTGTTTGTATCCTCTCCCCCACTGATGATGTGGTAACCTGTGGGAGAAGATGCCCTTGTGTCTATTAGTGATGGGAGTTGTTCTTAATACATATTTAGCAGTGGATAGAGTGCTGGGCCTGGACTCAGGAAAACCTGAATTCAAATTTGACCTCATATGATTACTAGCTGTGTGATAGGCCTGGGCAAGTCACTCAACCCTGTTTGCCTCAGTTTCCTTGGCTGTAAAATGAGCTGGAGAAGGAAATGGCAAACCAATCTAGTGTCTCTGCCAAGAAAACCCCAATGGGATCACGAAGAGTCGGATATGACTGAAATGACTGAACAACAAATTGGATTAAATGACTTTGGCTTTGAAATAACATTAACCTTGACTGGCCTGGTAAAAGAAACACTTAAGGGGTTGTAAGTAGATGCTGACCCCCCACAATGCAAATCTTGGACCTCTGTGTGATGAGAATCTTCAGTGCTCTGTCCACTTTGACACCTAGCTGCCCTTATTGGCATTGAGATCCAGGTCCTTTCTCCTCCCTATCCCCCCAAATCCACCTTGTGCTCAGGCCCTCTTTGGGGCCCGTTACTTGAGTGGTTGTCCCCTATCCCACTAATACCCTTGCCCACTTCTCTCTGGGCTGCCCTCCACGTTGTCTTTTACTCCATTCCTTTTCATTATCCGCCATTCTATTTTAGCCAATGGGGGAGCAGGGTAAGTTCATTTCCCTTCCCATTCATATTTCATTCAGCGGGAGCGGGGGAGTCTGGGAGGGAGCATCTGAGAAGGGAAGAAAAACTGCTTAGTTGTAGGGAAGAGGATGTGATCCCTATGCAGAACAGAGGCAGCCTTCAGAAAGGGCAACAGAGATGTGTGACACTGAGAATCCGAAGTCCCCTGAGCTGGCAGGATTGGGTGGGTAGGCATGAGGCCAAGGGTGCTAGTGGGTGGACTAGGAGCCAGGGCCACAGCGGAGGTGGACAGGGGTTGGTGGGGAGGGCCTTCAGGTTCCAGTCTAGAGCACTAGGGTTCTCCTCATGATAGGCAAGGGGGAGTCCAGAAGTGGCATGCAAGGTAGAGACTTGAGTTAGCAAGACTGTCCTTGGGCCAGGGGGACCAGGGACTCATCTGCTCGCTGCCTACCTATTTCCTCTCCTGTTGATGGGGGAGTGGGGAATGGTGTCTGATCATTCTATTTAGATGAGGATGTGCTGATGCCCTCTGGATGGAGCCACTTCAATCTCGGAAGCCAAAGAAGTCAGAGCCTGAGGAGCTTTCCAGGTATGTGGGGACAGCCAGGAGTGAAGGGGGCCCTCTGGGACCATAATAGCCTGGGACAGGACTAAGAAACAAGACTTCCTGGGCCTAGGAGAGGGGCATAGACGGCAGGGGGCTACATGCTGGACTCCCGGGCTTCCTCCATGGGCAGTTTATACAGGGAGCACACCCTGTCAGTAAAGTAATTCTATTCAACTCTAATGCATTCCCCTTCATCTTCCCCTTTTTCAATCTCTAATTTCCTTCAAAACTTAGCTCAAAGTTCTTCTCCATGTAACCTTTTCTGTTTCCCTGACTGTTAGTACGTTGCTCTCTGAAATTACATTGTACTTACTTGGCATATACAATGTATGTGAGCCTATACATAAACAGTGTATATATGTATGTATACAATACATGCACACATATGCCTATAAGTATATGTGTACAAATGTGCCTATATTAATACACATCCATGTGTATGTGCACACACATCTAGACATGTGCGCATACACATATACACATGTATATGTCCTGGTGGGGGTGGGGACCAGCTCCTGGTGAGTGGAAGTGTCCTGGGAGACAGGCTCCAGATGATGAGGATGTCCGAGGTAATAATAACAGTAATTATGGCTAGCACTCCTATAGTACTATAAGGTGTGCAGAGCCTTACATATGTTATCTCCTTTGATCCTTACAACAACCTGAGGAGGTAGGTGCTAATATAACCCCCGTTTTACAGATGAGGAAACTGAACCCAGGAGAAGTAAAGTGACTTGCCCAGGGTCCCATAGCTAACCAGTGAGTGCCTGTGTCTAGATTTGAATGCAGGACTTTCTGAGGCCAGTTGCAATACTCTCTATCTGCTGCCAACATCTAGCTGCTTCTAAGATAGTGGATCTGGAAAGTTCTTTCTAGCTCCAAAATGGAATGCCGCCTATTCGGGGTCTGGGTAACATGGTAGATGAACACAGGGAAAGCTTCCTAAGGGAAGCTGGGTCTGGGGGCCCGGAGGCCTGGGCTTCCCCCGACACTCCATCCTTGCAGCTCCCTGGCTGAGTCGCCTGGGCTTCCTGACGAGGATAGTCTTCTTTGCCCTTTCCTTCATCCTCAGCATCATTATCTTATCCCAAGGTAAGGCCCAGGCCCAGGGCTAGGAATGGGCTGGGGGAAGGAGACGTTCCATCTCTGGTCTCTCTCATGGGAATCAGGAGATGGGGAAGAGGGAGATGGTTTGATATAATGAAAGGAGCATTGAAACTGGAGTAAGAGAATCCAAGTTCTAGCTTTGCTACTGCTGTGTATTAGCTGTGTGACCTGGAGCTAGTCTCTTCCATTCTCTGGCCTCAGTTTCCCTATTTTTAAAATGAAGTGGTTGGATTACAGGATCTTGAAGGTGGCTTTATAGCCTATACTAATTTAGGAATCTGGGCTGCTGGGAATCTGGGGGCTACTCTGCAAGAGTGGAAGCAGGGTTGGGTCCCTGAAGTCAGACTGAATTGGGGGCCAGGCCTGAGCCCTATGTCCTGGGTGAGATTGCCATGCTATTAGAGAGGGCAACATCAAAGAGAGATCATGGGTTAGGTGCCAAACCTACCATTGATTCCAGAGAAAGGGAAGCTTGTTTGGAATCAGGCTGTCTTCTTCCCTCCCTCCTTCCCCAACTCCCCAGCCCTTCATTGGATGGGTGCAACTGCTATGGGCCCAGACTCATTGCTTTGCCTTCCAGTCTTCCAGAATCAAAGTCAGCATAATTTGGAGCATGAAGCAATCCAGAAGAAACTGAACCAGCTCTCTGCCCAGCTGAAAGATGGTGGGGGTGAGGCCAAGAACTGGGGGAAAGATACTTGGCTTAATGGGAAGAGAACATCACCAGGTGGAGGGCTCAGAGATTTGTAGCAGGGAGGGGCACAGGAAAGATAGTGGGGTTCTCTTCCTCCCTCCCTCCATCCCTAACTCCCCAGACCTTCACTGGATGGGTGCAACTGCTATGGGCCCAGACTCATTGCTTTGCCTTCCAGTCTTCCAGAATCAAAGTCAGCATAATTTGGAGCATGAAGCAATCCAGAAGAAACTGAACCAGCTCTCTGCCCAGCTGAAAGACGATGGGGGTGAGGCCAAGAACTGGGGGAAAGATACCTGGGGCAAATGGGAAGAAAGCATCACCAGGTGGAGGGCTCAGAGATTTGTAGCAGGGAGGGGCACAGGAAAGATACTGGGGTTCTCTAGGGAAGGGACTTCTTATTAATTTTTGGGGGGGGAGGGGGCAAGGCAATTGGGGTTAAGTGATTTGCCCAGGGTCACACAGTAGTAAGTATCTGGTCTGAGACCGGATTTGAATTCAGGTCCTCCTGACTTCAGGGCCAGTGCTCTATTCACTGTACCACCTAACTGCCCCCTAGGGAAGGGACTTTTTGAGGTGTGGCTTGGACCAGATGACCCTTGAAATCCCTCACAACTCTGAATCTCTGGGGATCCAGAGGACAAAGGAAGAGCAGGACAACTGGGTTCTCCAAGGAAGCAAGATTCGGCTCGGGGCAGGCCATCTGGGCTCTTCAAAGATCAAAAGGTGTTCATCCTTCTGACTCCTCTTTTCTTCCCTCCCTAGACCTGAGGGCCAAAGAACAAGTTCAAGCTGCACAACTCATCAAACAACTGAACAAAACCCTGAGTAAGGACAGCCTGGCACATGGGGACGGGTGGGGAACTGAAGAGAGCAGGAATTAGACTGGGGCATGAATTCAGCGGTCAGAAGAGGGAGCCAGGACCCCTGGGCCCCTTGCCTACTCCTGCCCATTACCCACAGGTGCCCTTTGCCGTCCATGTCCCTGTGACTGGAAGCTCTATAAGGACAGTTGTTACCAGTTCTCTGTGTACCGAAAGCCATGGGAGGCAGCCAGAGCGGCGTGTGAGGCAGATGATTCCAAGCTGGTTATCATTAGCTCTTCTGAGGAGCAGGTGAGTTGCTTTTCCAGGTCCATCCAAATCCCCAGAACCCAGGATCTGTCCTATCTATGCGACCTTAGGCAAATAATTTTCCTTCCGTGGGCCTCATCTGCAAATTGAGGGGATCGGCTCTAAGATGCCTTTTAACTCTAGATTTATGCCATCTGTGACATGAAAGAGGGGTTAGATTTTGCTTCTCTTGCACAACTCCAGAAAACAGAACAAGACTAGATGAAGTAGGGGTGGAGTAAGTGATAGCAAATAGTTTTTGGCCAGTTGTGAGAGAACTTGTTCACAATCTGACCTATGTAACTACAAAAGCAGCTGTTGCATGAGACAGTGAGCCCCTGGAACATCCAAAGGGGCTCAGAGACCCCACGTCAGGGATGCTGTATCCTCCATCAGGAGGGAAGGGCTAGCTGACCTCCGGGATCCCTCCCAGCCCTCAGACCCCCCATGAGGAAGTACTGGTTGGTAGACTGAAATGAGAATTGGATTTGGGGTCAGAGAACCACCCGGTTCCAGAGTCTTTGCTCTGTGTGCTGTGGGACTTGGGGCAAGCTGCCCTTCACTGCTCTGGGCTTCGTTGCCTTCAGCTACAAAATTATGGGGAAGAGACAGGGGTTAGATGAGCAATAAGATCCATGCCGGTTCTGAATCCTAGGAGCCCGAGTTTCTTTTCTCCCTATTGCTATAGATAGGACTAGCTGACCTCTAGGGGCCCTCCCAGCTCTCAGACCCCCCATGAGAAAGTACTGGTATTGCTATTGCTATTGCTATTGCTATCCCTAAGAGTTTTTAAACCCAGTAGAAGTGAGGCCTCCCTTCTGCCGCTTCCATTCCCTCCTCACACTTTAGCCTTCCAGTCTGTGTCTCTGGAATCTGAGCAGAACTCAATCATTTACACAGCAATGATTTTTTAAGCACTGGCTTGAGCCAGGCATTGTGTTAAGCACTGGTGATTTAAGGGCAAAAGAGAAACAATTCCTGCCCTCCAGAAGCTTACATTCTTTGGGGGGGGGGTGAGGCAATCAGGGTTAAGTGACTTGCCTAGGGTCTCATAGCTAGTAAGTATCAAGTGTCTGAGGCCAGATTTGAACTCAGGTCTTCCTGACTCTAAGGCTGGAACTCTATCCATTGTGCCACCTAGCTGCCCCAAGAAGCTTACATTCTAACAGGTTAGAACAGGCACACAAAATAGATGCAGGTCAATTTGAGGAAGGAGGGTCCTGGTAACTGGGGCCCTGGGACAGGCTTGCCATAGAAGATGGTGCTTGAGCTGAGTTTTGAAGGAAACTAGGCACCCCAGTGGGATAGAGGTGTGGCTTTCCAGGCATGGGGCACAATACAGAGGCACAGATATGGGCAATGGAGTGTTGAAGATGAGGAATAGTGACAAGGTAAGTTTGCTGGATTGTAGAGGCCACGGAGCTAGTTAACTGGAAAGAGTCCTCAGAATTGTTTTTTTTTTTTTTTTTACTACTTTCCCTTTGCTTCCCTTTTTTCCTTCTGACTGGGATGTTTAGGTTGTGCCCAGTTACGCCCTTGTAGCTAAGCCCTGCCTCTAAGTAGGAAGTAGCGTAGAAGAAAATGGACTGTATTTGAAGTCAGAGGACCTGGGTTCAAGTCCTTCCTTCCTCTGCTACTTACTATCTTGGGCAAGGTCCTTATTCCCTTCATATCTCAGTTTCCTTGTGTGTAAGATCAGGGTGGGAGGGGGTGATGTTGTAAAATGAATGACTTTGGTCTAGTCATCCCCTAAGATTCTTCAGGAAATTCTGTCCTTCCCCACCTCCCAAAAGGTTATATTCAAGAGACGGGAAGGGGCTCACATCCATTGTTCAAAGCCCTGTTGCCAAGAAGGCAGTAGAAGGGAGGATGTGGTCCTTGGGGAGGTTACAGTTCAGTTTTAGGAGACAGGGGCTAAGTGGATAAAAGATGTTTAGAAATGAACCCTAATGAGTGTAGAGGGCCAGAGGCACCTAGAGCAAAGGAATGAGCAGTCAGGCACAGTTAAGTAGAGATGGCTGCTAGAAACGGGTGTTGTGCACCAAGTTTTGAAGTTGCAGAGGGCCATGAGGGGCAAAGGAATGGGTGTTCTGGGTGGGGAGGCAGGAATGGGGCATAGGGATTGAGACTGGGGAGTAAAGAGGTGATGAGCTTTGGCTGAGAATACTGCTTGGAGGACAGGCCTAGGAGGGGATTCTATCCAAACTGGGCATGTTTAACCAGAGAAGGGCATGGCTGCTGTCTTCAAGTAGTAGAAAGGCTGCTATGTGGAAGATACATCTATCAGCCTTGTGCCCGATCCAAGAGGGCAAAGCTAGGGACAATGGGTGGAACTGCAAAGAGGTAAATTTAGGTTTGATACCAGGAAAAAACTTCCTAAGAAGGAGTTACTGAAAAGTAGGAGGGATTACCTTGAGAGGTGGTGGGTTGTCTCTTGTTGGACATCTTTGAGAAAAGGCTGGTTGTCACCTCTGTGACTCTGGATGTTTTCACCTTGCTGGTGAAAGAGTTTCCTCACCTGTATAATGAAGAGGTTGGACAACATGGCACAAATGTCCCTTCTGGTGCTCTATGATCATATGAGCCTTTGTCCTTTATGACTACATGAGACAATTATTTAGGAATAGGTTAGACGGAATGGTCTCTGACATGCTTTCCAACTGAAATTCTGTGATTTGGGATTTGGAGTAATAGAGGGACACCATGGGAACCAGGCAAGTGAAGGAGGCAGAGTGGTTCAATGGACAGAGTGCTGGATTTGGAATCAAAGGAGTTGGGTTTGAATTCTGGCTGTGCCACTTGCTAGCTGGGTGACTTTGGACAATCACAAGGGGTTACACTTGGCCTTCAAGGTCCCTTCTAACTCCGAACCTATGACCCTTAGGTCCTTCCTGGAGAAGGAAATAGCAAACCACTTGGGTATTTTTTGTCATTGTCAAAAACATATATCCTCTTTTTCACTAAAAACAAAAAAACCAAAATGGAAACACAAACATGTGCAAAAAGAGACTGACAAAGCACATGTATACGTATGGTGTGTGAAAGGCTCTCTCCCTGATTCTTTCCTCTTTCTGATGTCACCCCCATTTTCCATACTGCCCCCCTTCCCCACCCAGTGGCAAGAAGAGGCAAAGAGTCATACCCTGGGATGTGGCTGCAGGGGCACAGCATCTGTGCCACGCACAAGCTGTTACCATGCTCACCACAGACACATTCATTCAGGCTGGCCCATGGCGTGTGGTAGATGAACTCCAAGGAGCCTGAGAATCACAGAGGGTCACAGAACACACATGTGGGAGACGCAGCCTCACTCCATCAACAGGAAGTCACACATGGATGCTGGAACCAGGCTGTCTCCTCAGGAGAAAGCAGATGGTCATGGGCTGCAGAGATCAGAGCTGAAAAACACCTTAGAGATGAGCTAGGTCAATCTTCTCATTTTACATTTGAGGATACCAAGGCCCAGAGAAGGGAAGAGGGTTCCCCAAGATCACATGAGCAGTAATTAGGAGAGCCAGGATTTGAACCCAGGTGTTCTAACTCAGAGAGGCAGGTAGTGCACCTCGAAGGAGCAATGGGCTTCAGAGCCCACCTCGGAAGCATCCTTAGCTCTGTGATGCTGGCAAAGTCACGGAAACTCTCTCAAACTGGTTCTTTATCTATAAAATGGAGATAATGATAGGATCTGCCTTATAGGATTATCTGGAGCCTCAAATAAGAGGATCTGTATATGAGGTAACGTGGAAAGTACTTTACAAACCTGAAAGTACTAGATAAATGCTAGCTGCTGTTGCTGCTGCTGCTGCTGTCATCTCTCCAATAGTTTGGCACAGGGAAGAATTTTCTTCCAGTGAGTGCCTTCAGGTACCAGACTGAGTGGTTAGAAGGCTGCATGTCTGAGGAGAGAAGAATCCTTGGGGTATAAGGGCAGAGGAAAGAAGGAAATGCCTCAATAGTGGTCCAAGCCTGATGAGAACTAAGGCTTTGTTTGGTGCTTGGGAGTGAGGGATAAGAGTTCCAACACTCACCCTACTCTTTGCTTCCCAGAAATACCTGAACCAGAGGGCTGACTCCATCCACCGGTGGTGGGTGGGACTCAGTGACAAGAAGAAAGAGGGGCTCTGGCACTGGGTGGATGGAACGACTCTGAAGCAGGCGTAAGTCACTGGCAGCAGTCAAGAGACCCAGGAGGGAGGGGAAGACAAGAGCTAGGACCTTCCCTAAAAGCATCACAGGACAACCTCATCCCTTCCAGTTGATGCCCCAAACTCCAGCATCAGAACTGAGTTCAGGCACCAGAAGCCAATGGGCCCCAGCTTCATTGTTGTGGGGTCAAGGGAAGTTAAAACCAAGCCTCCCCCCCCATCCAATTCCCTTTGATAGTGAGGGTCGCAGTTCTCCTTCCAAATTAGCATCCTCTTTTCAGTCAGTATCTCCACCATCTCCTTCTCTCTACCACAATCATTCTATCCCCAGTCAGTCCCTGCCCCAGTCAACATCTTCCCTCACCACCCTGGTCAGTGTCCAGCCCCAGAATCGGTATCTTCTCCAGCCAGCATCTCCCCCTGGCAGTGTTTCCTACACCCATACCCATCACAGTCTCTCTCCAAAATCAGTGCTCTCCTCCAGAGCTTGTTTAGAAGCTTGATCCCTCAAGGTTCACTGAGAAGGACACTGACTCTGGGGTCAAGAATCTTGTGTTCAAATTTTGCCAGTGACACTTGCTACCTTAGACCTTGTGTATAATCCTGGGCAAGTCATTTAACTTCTCTCCACCTCAGTTTGCTTTTCTGCGTAAGGTGTGTATTGCCCATGCAAGATGAGTATGTTCATGTGAATTGACTAAATATGGCTCATGGAAAGGCACTGATAGATAATCCTGGAATCTTGCCCACCCCTCTCCAAGGGAGATTTTGAATCCTGCCTGGAGAGGTGTAGGAGAAAGGGCCATGAGGCTGGCTTCTTTGTTCTCTGAAAGGAAGTACCAGACTAGAGTTTTATCTCTTTGGAACTCCCCTCCAATATTGTTGGTTTAGGTGCCCAACATTTTTTTTAGGTTCATAAGCAACAAAGCCACTAGCTTCCTTGGTCACTATCCCTTCAAGGGGGAAAGTGCCCCAAGCTTACCCTCACTGGGTTGGCTCTTTCCCACTAAATGCTAATTACACAAATGCCCATCACAAATAGTGAATAGTGAGTAATAATCCCATTGATCTAGGCAGATAACAAACAGAAATCAGAGTTCTACAGATTTAACTATACCAGAAAGTGTACAAGAGCAAAGAAGCTTTTAGATGGGAATAAGCTGAGATCTCACTCAACCAAGAGAGAGGCTCCAATTTTAGTCAAAGGGAAATTCTTGAAATCTCTAGGGTAGCAGGCTGGAAATTAGGGACATGTTGAAGTGCTGGCATCCCCTGCATGTTTGCTACTTTCAAAGTATTTTTTCTCTCCTTGAAGTTGGTCCTAAACAAAGTCTGGAACCACATGTGTCTCTCCAAGCAGGACGGAAAAATGTCTTGCCTCTCCAAAGCTGTTGCACCAATTCTGCCTTTCTCAGTTATACAGGGTCACGCCATCATTCTCTTCACCAATTAGGAGAGTCTCATGCAAAGTGCATAAGTCTAAAACTAGAGTTACATCTGTAGAAGAGGATGTTGGATTAGATGAACTCTGAGATGCCTTCTAACTCTAGATTTGTGATCATAGGATTCTACTGACTTCCTGACCCTTCAGAAGGGAACAATGCCTTGGAAACAACTCCAAAGCTCAGAGCTTTGTCATATGAGAAAACACAGCTCCCCCTTTGGGGGGTTGTGGGGAAGGGAGAACTCACCCTGGATCCTTAAGGACCTTTAGTTTGGGGATGCCCTGGAACCTTGAAAGAACCTATCATCTCCTTCCTCCCCAAACCCATCTATGTGTCTAAATAAGAATTTCTTTAGCTAGTCTCAGCTGTTCAGACCTCCATATGTCTGGGAAGGCTGGGGATCTTTGGGGTCCAGACACACTAGACTCCTGGGGCTTCCCAGAGGACTATTTGAGACCAAGGCAGGGGTGGCAGAAAGCGGGAGTGGGATGGGGAATGGATGGGGCCCTCCCCAGAATGAGATGGTCTCTTTCCAAGGCTATGGGTGTATGTATAGGTTTTGTGAGTGTGTGTGTGTGTGTGTGTGTGTGTGTGTGTGTGCTGGTTGTGAGAGTCAGAAGGAGTGAGTAGGGGAGCTTGGTGCCTCATCTGAGGCACAGACCAGCTTTTGTCCAGGTGGAGAAAATGGTGGAGCTGGTGTCAAGGGACTGACCACTGGGGCTGAGTGGCTGCTCCAGTGTGGGAGAAGGGAGGACTACACACTAAAAGGCTAATGTTCACAGCTTTTGGAATGAGGGAGAACCCAACAATGCTGGTGATGAGGATTGTTGTGAGCTGACCTCTCAAGGTTGGAATGATGCACCCTGCAGCAAGGAGAACTACTGGATCTGTGAGAAGGAAGCTTCCCCTTGTATCAAGCTCTGAGGAGCTCCAGGGCTTGGGGGCATAGGGGTCGGTAAGGGTGGTGACTGTGTCTGGATAGGAGAGAAGAAGAGATGGGGCTGGGAGCCAGGACTCTTGTATCTCAGTTTATCCTCTTGTGAATCCTGGCCCTTATTTTCTTTCATGAAGGCCAAAGTTCCCTGAGATTCCCCCAAATAAACCTTTCCCTTACACTATCTCCTATACTAATCTCCATGGCTTTGGCTATCACCTCCATCTAGCTGACTCCCACATCTACATCTCTTGCATGCTTGCTCCCTTAAGTTCTGAACTCTAGACTCCATCTGTCTGTGGCTGACCATCCATCCCTGCCTGGAGGTCCCATTTCACTGCAATAAATGACTCCCCCATCTTATGCATATTTTTGTAAAGGTTTCCTGCATGTACAGTATCTGGCACCTAATTGACACCTAATAAATGCTGGTTGGTTGATTAATCTTGATGGAGGACCTGGAAATGACATGGGATGGGCAATGCCTGGCACATAATTGGCATCTGATAAATGCTTGTTGATTGATTAATTGTGATGGGGGAACCAGAAGTGACATGGGATGGGAAAAGCATTGGACTTGGAGCCAGGAATTCAACCTCTGATAGTAGATGTGTGATACTGGGTGACTAGTTTCATCTCTATGGATCCCAGTTTCCTCATCTGTAAAATGGAGATAATAATACTTGCATTATCTACCTCTGCAGGTTGGTTTAAGGAAAGCATTTTCCTGGTAGCTCCCTATTCCAACCTTTTGAAGCTCACAAGGTCATAGACATCTCCAATGGAGTTAGAAGGAATAGTAGAGCTAAAAGCTTAATCTTTAGCACTCAGCGAGGGCCATTTTACTATTAAAAACAGCCTTCCCTAACCCAAAGGTAATAAAGAAAAGGAAAAGACAAAGAAAAGCATGCTTTCCATCTCAGAAAGAATGCTTAGTCTCTCAGCAATCCCAGAGCACGTGTGTTCTGGGTTGGGTCAGTCCCTTGGTAGTTTAGGTTCAATAATGGAATAAAATGAGCTTCTTATAGGTCATTCAACAGTTAAGGAAAAGAGATTTACTTAGCCACAGCAGGAAAAGGACATTTAACAATCTATCAGCTAATCAGTCAATAAATATTTATTAAGCGTCTATTATGTATCAGACACTGCTAAATCTTGGGGATTAAAAAGGAGCCTTTGAAGAGCTCACAATCTAATGTGTAGGCATTGAGGACTCCTTGAATTAATTTGGCTGAGTGAAGCTCCCTGGCCCATCAAAATCCACCAGCCAAGCTTTCATATGACCTTGTAGCCATTTTGTATTTGGATGATGAGGAAGTGATGTCAACAGTCTAAGCCAGGGTGGGGAACCTTCAGCCTCTATTTGTTTTGTGAGATTTAGATTCAGTCAAAAGGCCGAATTTGAGGGCCTAGAGGGCCTCATGTGACCTCGAGGTGGAAGGTCCCGTCTAAGCCTTTAGGCCCCTGAGCCAACCAAGCCTGGAAGAAGGTTCCAATAGCTTTTTAAGTTGTGTTTGTCCTTCATTCTTGAAGAGGACCATAACATCAGGGAGATGATGTTGGGACTTGCAATTGACTGATTTGAGTGAGGGAGGGCTGTGCAAGGCCACCAGCCTCACTTTCTCCTCCAGAGCCACCCAGGTCCAGTGGCCAGATATTCATCAGGACGACTGGCAACTTTCATGGGGGGAGTGGTTAGGATATTTCTCTACCACAACATGAAACTCTCTCCACAGAGATTGAGCCCCCTTATCTTTTACCTTTAGGTGAAAAACCAAACTATTTTCGGAGAAAATTCTTCCATGAGTTCCTCAGTGAATAAAGTCACTTAACTGGGGTGTGGAAAAGAATTTCTGAGTGGGGGAATGCCAACATTTCTCTGTGGGTCCCTGGACTGTAGGCAACTCTTTTGAGGTCCAGGCAAATTTCCTCTGTGTCCCTATTCCAAAGGGCACCCCAAATTTCCCCCAATGGATCTTTTACATTATGAGGATACCCCTACTAGATTTCCAAACTCATCCAATGAGAGGACAAGTAGGTGCAATTTGAGACAACAGAAAACAAGGTCAAACAAGCCTTGTACAAGGGTGAGGCTCCAAGGATTATCCACTAAGGACTGATTCCTCAGGAATTTCTAGGCTAGCAGGCAAACCTTACTCTATGGACTTGATCATAAGGATGTCACAATAAGGCCAACAGTCTGTTTAAATGCAAAAGAAGAACATGGAGCATTTATCAGCTAGGCACCAGCATTTTAGTGGTACAAAGTCTCATGTTAGTGTCAATAGCAGTACTTTATCCAGGATTCAGCAACTTGGCAAATTGATATCAGTAATTAAGCACAGAATGAATAAACAAATACAAAAGCCTACAAAGATTATCACAAAAAGAACTGATTTTTAAAGGAAAACACACCAAAAAGAAAAAAATGACTTGAAATGAAAAACATGTGACACTTTTTCTCAGCTGGATCCTGAAAACTAGCATATCCAGTAACTAATAACATCCCAGGTGAAGAATCTCTCCAGCGGGGTTCTCACAAATGTGAAGGACCCAGTTTTCTCCCACGTGAGTGAGGCTCTACACGTAGTAATACCCTGGCTTTACTCTTCCAGAGAAAGGCTAGTCACATCTCCCTCTCAGTGTTCTAGGGGTGCCCCTAAGGGACAGTGCTGTGGTTTTCTCTAATGCTATTGAATAGAGCCCCTTTGCCAATATATTAGCTGCTAGCAATTACCAATTAATTACCAATTAACAAATTAACATCAGTGAACTTTTGCAAAATGATATTTGCTGTGAAGATATAGCAAGAACAGAAATTCCCAACTTGGGACCACACTCCCCCCTAGATTACCTCATCTAGGAAGAGTGGGCTCAGAGTTAATACGGTTTCTACGTAGGGTTCACTCCGCCATGTTCATTTCCACATGTGGCATCCCTCCTAGATGAGTCCCCATCTGGATGAGTCCATACTCAGCTCATTTGAGGTTGGGTCCCTCAGGATTTTCCATTAGGCCATGATGCTGGGATCTCCAGTCACAAAATCTCACATGGACTCCATCAGCAAAAGACTATACCTTTGTCCTCTGAGGACAAGCTCATTGGAGTGGCTATATGCTGAACCTATATTTTGAACCACTACAACTCCCAGAGATGATTTACTAAGGTGTGGAAGAGTTGTAAAACACATCAGTTAAGGAAGCACCCCCGCTAAAGATTGGCCATATGGCCACACGGCCATCCATTGGTTGCAGGAGGATGTTGGAGAAGGTGGACCCCACAAGAAGAGTCTCATCATAAAGTTACCCTGAGAACTGGATGTCCTAATTAGAGTTCTGAGGAGGGGAAGGCTGGGAGATGAACTCTAGAAAGCTGACTGGTGGGAGCTATTACCCAGCTGATCTGTGGTTATGGGAGATCACATAGTTGGGGGCACCTAGTACACTCATAGTAGAAGGAGCAAAAGCAGAAAAGCAAAGAGACTCCAGAGGGAGATAGGCCAGTACTAAGGAGACACTGCTCCTCTTGAAGTACCCAGATTTGTATACTAAATGCTGAATTATGCCTGTACTGGCCTATGCTAGGGCTCAGGTGGAACTCTGTAAAGTTTTGCCTGAGGAACAGCAGAGTTCAATTCAATAGGCATTGGTTAAAGACAGCAGCTAGGTGGCACAGTGGGTAAGCATGCTGGACCTGAAATCAGGATGACCTGAGTTCAGATCTCACCTCAGACACATTAATTGTGTGACTTCACCTTTCAGTCTCAATTTCATCATCTGTAAAACAGAGGCAACAGCCCCTGTTTCATGGACTTATTGGCAATATCAAATGAAACAAATATGTGTAGCATTTTGCAAACATTGAAGTGCTGTATAAATGCAAACTATTATTTTTTAAGCAACCTCTATGTGCTAGATCCCAGGTTAGGCTTTGAGGATACAGAAAAAAAAACAGTCCCTGCCCTTAAGGAGCTTACATTCTATTAAAAGAATAACATGTACACAGATAAGTAAATAAAAAGTGCATAGAATGAAATTTTGTGGGAGAAGACAGTAGCAAGTGTGGATTAAGGTGGGCTTCCTGAAGGAGAAGGCATTTGAACAGAACTTAGAAAGAAGCAAGGGATTTTAAGAGGCATGAGTAAGAAAAGGGATCTAGGGGAGAGTGTGGTCCCAAGTTTATAACTTCTGTTCTTGCTGTATCTTCACAGCAAATATCACTTTGTAAAAGTTCATTGATGTTAATTGGTTAATTGATAATCAATTAGGTAATTGCTGGCAGGTGTAATGAGGCTCTGGCCAATGAGGGACCAGTCCTAGAAGTGTGTTCAAAGGGCTCTTAGAGATGTCTGTTGGACTGGCTTCTGGAAGTATATGATGCACACTGGAGGGGTCTGGTTCTGTACTCCAGAGCATGCATGGGTATTCTGTGATTCTTTCCTGTCCACTTACCGTGTGATGAAGATAAGCCTTTTAGCTGGCTGCTGAGCTAGAATTGAGTAGGCATACCAAAGACACTCGGTGGCCAAATTACCTCTCATATCACTTTGTAGTCTGAGTGAATAGGAAGAAATTCTGGGAGCCTTTGGGTGGGGCAGCCCCTATGCCACTTCCATCCCAGTTGTATCTGTTCTTTTCTTCTCTTTGGTGAAAGAGTTTCAGAAAGGACAACAATCTTGTGAGCCATCGGAATTCCAGAATCCATACCAGAGTTGCTTACAACCTGGTCCAGTGTCCTTTTGAGTCCCTGAAGAATGACCTGCTTGACCCACTCTAGCATTGATTTAATTGTGGACAAGCTGTGTCCTGCATGCAAGGGAATGACTGCATCTACTGGTTTTGCCAAATTTGGAAGTGAAGTGAATGTTTTGTAAAAACTGCTTGAGCCCCTTCTCCCCAGGGCCTGAGGAGGTGGAGGGTACAGAATGTGCCCCTAGCCCAGTGATGTGTTTGTTCTATTGCTTTTGCTATAGCTTTGCAGTAAAATATTTCTTTATAAAAGCTAATTGATGTTAATTGGTTAAATAATACTGGGACACTAATTACTGGTCTTGATGTTGCAGGGGACACACCAGAATGAGGACTTGAGTTAATAGTTTTAGAAAGACATCCCTAACCATTCAGGCATCTGAATCCTGAGAGGGAGATGTAGGCAGCCTCAATCTGGGAATCCAATTTGGCAGAGTGAGGGTGAGTTGGGATAAGGCTCTGCCTACAGCCTATAAGGGCTTCACAGGTATGAGGGACAGCCTGTGCAAAGGCACAAAGGTCAGTGATGGAATGTCATCCATGGGGAACAAAAAACAGGTCACTTTGGCAAGACAGCAGGGTGCATAAAGGAAGGTAAAAAAGTATCCTACTAGAAAAATAGCAAGATTGTGAAGGGTTTTCAATAACAAAGGAATGAGTATTTTATCCTAGAAGCAAGTGGGAGCCACAAAAGCT